TTTACTTTTTTTTTCTTGCTGCATAAAGTCGGGACGCGTGAGAAGCGCACGAAGAAAAATAAACGTCCGTGGGTCGTCACGACCGCGACGCTGTCGGCCATGCTGATTTGATCGTAAGAAGTGCGTAAGACAGCTTCGGAGTTGTCGTAGGATTTCGTCGTAACCTGCGCAAAACTTTTGAAAATTTCGTTTCGGGAATACAAATTTGTTCTTAAGTTTTGTCTTACGCACATTTTTAGCGTAAGATCGTCTCCTGCACTTCCGAAAGTCGCAGGAAAGGTAAGACAGACGCAGACGACGTTGTGAGCAGACGACGTTGCAAAGGAGCAGACGAAGCTCAGATAGGGGGGTCGCGATCAGCCAATCAGCGCTCGGCGTTCTGACGTCACCGCTACCCCCTGCGCAAGAAGCAGACGAACTTGCCCTCCGCATACAGTGGTATATGGCTGTATTTGAACGCGTATATGGCGATATATGGCCGTATTTACGCACTTATACAACCACATAAGGCAGTATTTGCCCACTTATATGGCGATATCTGGCCTATTTGCTCCCATATATAGCGTTATATGGCCATATTTGACTCCTTATAGTATCATATATGGCCATATAGAAAATATATCAGGGCCAGATATGACATTTCCGTACGGGTACGCCTACTTTCCTGCCCGGCATTTGAGTCTGCTCCTCACGTGATCGGATCTCGGCGAACAGTGGCGCCACTCTGGCTCCCGTAAGGAGCCTATACAGGAAGTACTCTACCTACTCTGCTCCGAAGGAGCTATATAGTGCTCTAGGCCGCACGATAGCAGAGCGCAGCACAGCCGTCGGCTTCGTTTTCCCCTTTCCCTACCGCGTGGAGCCTGGTCGGGCCAATGCTTTCGCCGCTCGCTTCGTCAGTTTTCGGTTCTCAAAGATTCCGACGTACCTGACAGCGATGGCACCGATTATTACGAAGAGCTCTTTGAAGCTGGTCATTTTGACTTCGATCCGCTGGCGACTAGCTCCAGTGACGGCGGCGAGAGCGTCGCGGAGGACGACGACGAGATGGGTGATGACGCTGCTGAAAATGCTCAGGCGCAAGATCTGGAATGGTGCGTGTTGATGTTTGACAATACCCTATGTCACTATGGGCGAGTGCGAAGCTGACGCTACAAGCTATCACCCTTAAATATGACGTCCAGCGAATATCCTGTATATATACAGGATATTCGCTGGACGTCAAATTTAATGGCGATGTTTAAAGCGCATGCTCAGAACAAGCTTATATAAATGGGCTGCTGAGACCGGCAATTTTAAGGTTGCGGAATGCACGTTGCAGAAGAACTGCGGAAGCTCGCCGTCAGCACGCGTTCAGCAGTCGCGCACACAGCCATCGCCGCCAGCGAATGGTCCCTATAGACAATAGACGTATTGCTAAATCACCCAAGCATCAAGGAGAATGCAGGGATTGGAGTTCCACGCGCCACACGCGCACGCCTTCTCCGTATAAAAGATTCGAAGTAAATAACCAAAATAAAGCGTTGACGAACGCGCGTCCAAGATGCTATTTGTTCTCGGCATTTGCAGTAAAAAAGTTACTAGCGGTGAGGCCAGCACGAGTGGCGCGCGGAACACGAATCCCTGCATTATCCTTGATGCTTGAGTAATTTAGCAATAGGGCTCTTTCAAGCAAGGCTACTGGCCGCCGCCATGTCTCTACTCGTGAGGACAAGTCCGGGTAATTTCAATGTTGCCAAAGCTATGTTCACGCGCAAGCGGCAAGTGCTTGCACTAATGAGGCACCAGTCGGAGCGCCACGCTTGCAGTTGTCTATACTCCGAAACTGAAGCTTCAAGCTCAAGAATGCGGCTTTGACCGATGCTTTCACTGCGCGAGTGCGCGTGCTTGGGAAGCACGTCGAAAGCGACTACAAAACGAGGGATGCAAGAATTACCGAGTGCTCAACTAAGCGATCGTAGTCAGGTTGGTCACGTGGTTTCAAACACCGTTGTGTGACTTATATGGGTTGGCCACGGCAGTATTCTGCCAATGTTGCCTGGTCTCCAGATGCAAACGACCAACATTGAAAAATTCAATACTTTAATTAATAGTGATCTAGAAATCGGGAAACTTGGTGTGTATAATAGGTAACCTATGAGTGTTTCATACCACGAGTAATTGAGCTTTGTCGATTTTTATGTTCTGGCCCCTTTAAAAAATACTACAACTAAATATGGACATTTCTTGGTCTATGCGTCTTCAAGGGAGCAGTATCACATTGTGCACACCAATCACTTGTTGAAAAAGACAAAAATGAATTCGGAAACGATTTAAACTATTAGCAAATGGCACCTGGTGGATGTCGCTAAAGCCTCGTTTGTAATACCCGTCTAAGAATACCGACAGGTAGTGACGATGCCTGTGTCGCCTAGAACCAAGGTTATTAGATTTGCTCAGTTACGGAACTGCTCATAGAGGCTGCTTGCACGGGCAGTACCCCCCTCACTCACCACGACTCGCTTCCCGTCGTTTGAGGCGCCGGATGGCCGCTATGGTAACTGCAGTGTATTCTATGGTACGTTTCGAAGCACAGCCTCTAGATGGCATTCGACTGTTCTCTATGGAACACACAGTTATGAAACGAAAATTTAGATGGCGGCTCAAACGGTGGGAGGCGGACTGAAGTGGCTGAAAGGGGGTACCCCCTTCCGCGGGAACTCCACAACTGATGTAATCTAGTAACGTTGCCTAGAACTATAGGCTCCTTGCACTGACGTCACATCGCATACTTTCGAACACTATGTAAAAGGAGGAGAGGGAAGCTGCTTTTGTAAGAATTTTGAGTGACAGGTTAATCTTCTATAATCTTCTGGGAGGAGAACAGCGACGTCTGTTTTTTATCCGGGAGGCACAAAGGAGGACCCTGATAAAAGGGGAGCTCCTTCTTCCCCTTTTTTCTGGAGGTCATCGGAGCGCTCTTTCAATGACGTCATGTGCAAGCCACGTATACACATGCCTTGAACCTGACGCCATCCCGTCAGCTCTCCGGCCAGCACGAGAGAAGAGGGGAGGGGGGAACTGCCTTCTCACCGGGAATCTCTGGTGTGTCCGAGACTTTCCCAGACGTCGCTATTGTCCCTCTACAAGATTATAGAAGATTAACCTATAACTCAAAACTTCTACAAAAGCAGATTTGCGGTTATAGTCAGGTGCGCGCTAAGAAATGTTTTCGAGTGAAAGGATGGTTGGGGAAGAGGAAGCAGACGGAATTCTGAAGAGAAGAACAGGAAACCTTGTCTTCCATTCAGCGTTAAGCCTGCTTCGCCCTCCCCATCTTTCCTTTCCCTCGAAAGCTTTTTTTCCATGAAACACTCGACCCCAGGGACAACAAGCCGTTTTCGAGCCCAGTCACTGGTTTTGAAAATAGGCTCTCACCGGTGTCCCTGCTAACCATAACCGAGTGGACTGATTTCGATAGGTGCAGCATGCGTAGGCGCAGTTTCAAACACTGCTGGCGGCGAAATTCTCGTACTTTCCCGCTGTATTTTGTGTTTCATGGTGTATATTTTCCCGAGGACATTGATAAAGCATTTTACCTAATTAAGAAAAAGCAAAAAGAAATCAAACTATTTTTGTTGTGTGCGGGCGCGATAGAACAAATGCGACTGGAATGTTAGTTTTTTTTTTTTTACGGTAAGTTTTGACGGCGTTGCCTGATTAGCCGCGTGTCAAACGACGGAGCCCTTAGTTGTCGAAAATAAATTACAACAGAAGATAGCCGAAAGGCATGCATTTTTCACGTGCACAAATGACGTGTTTACCGATGGACAGGACACGGACATAGAATTTAGCAAGTGTTAACATTCGAACATCATATTGTACGTTCCACACAATGCAGCGTTATCTGAAAACATTTTATTCGAGAAAGCTCTAAAATAACACAGTCACAGTCGATGACAGCGTCGACTGTGACGTCTAGGGTATCCTGTCGACGTCAGCCTCGCCACAGCTTTGCTCGTCCCGAGATAAAGTGCGTCACGATTGCGCCAGACGTCACATGATCTCCGCTGGCTGCTCTCCTAACGTTTGCCAGTGTGGGCCGTTTATAGCGAAAAATACAACCATCAGGCTTAGGGTAGAAACGTGCGATAGTCATTAACGAATATTGTGGATCATGTTCAGCCCATTTCTAAACACGACGGCTATATTTCAAATTTCGTTTAAGTATCCCTTTAAGCTGGGAGTGTATCCAATGCCACAGGTACGAAAGCACGCGATCATAATTCTGAAACATTCTTCAGCAGATCGAGCGCTCGCGCTAGAAAGGCACGTCTCAAAGCCAGGAGCCCGGTCTAGGTTGCACTTGTAGCTTTGGCTGCGGTCTCAGCCAATAAATGTGCTACGCTTAGAGTATCGGCACTCTGTTCCTTGATATTGTTGTGGTCTCCGCCATCTTGGCGCTTACCACAGAGCAGACGCCAATGCCGATAGCCATGATTCAAAAGTGCGACATCCTCAACATTAAATTCGGTTTTACGAGGCTCATGTAAAATTGCTTTGTTTTTAGCGAAATGTTTAAACATTTGTGGAGGACGGAAAAGCGCTTCATGCGATTTCAAATAAAGCTTCAGATAAACGGCCACCATGATTTTAAGCCCCAAGATGGGTAAGCGTCGTTACTCTAAAGTGTAGCTTTTTTAGTGGCTTTAGTCTCAGCTTAAGGGTTATTGGAGTAAACTAAATGAGCTCTCGAATGGACAAATTTCAGTAAATTAAGACATGACACATTCAATATCTTTCTAGCTTAAATAACGCTTTGATGTCTTGTGAGTCCCGAAACATGCAGCCTAAAAACAAACGCTATGTAGGCTACATGGCCAACGCCATGTAGGTTAAATTGCCACCTGGCGCAAAAATGCACTCTGATAGGAAACCGAAACCTAAAAAAAAACTACAGCCTGGGCGAGTTGGTTGAACATGTTACCGACTACACACACTAGTATTCAGGATATTTGTCGTCAATACTTGTGTGTGTGTGCTATTTTTGCACTGAGAAGTCGGTAACACGAAACCTGGAAGTGTGTCCTGATTGAGCGTTTCTTCGAAACACCGTGAAACGCTGTTCGCGCCTCATATTTTCAGAATAGAGCTAATTTCCTGGCTTTGATGATTTTTAGCAAGATTCTAATTGAAAATATAGCTTAAAAAGTTACCAATTAAAGTAATTCGAAAGCAATTGATAAGCTACTTATACCTAGCGTAATTAATTTCTCCAAATGAGCCCCTGCTGAGAACAACACGACATTAACCTTTTCTTTTGTGCTATGCATACTTTTCGCAGTAACTATTTGGCCCACGTTTCGAGAGGCAGCCTGCGTACACACCATACTCTAAAGCGTGCCAAAGTTGGATGCTTACCTGACATTGGCGGCTCCAGGCAGCCAGAGTAAGAACTCCCAGGACCAGAGCCCCCGACGTGAGCACGCAGAACAACATCAAGTCCCTGCGTCGGGCATCAACGTGCGTCACTTCGCGGTCATTACATCTTGCTTAGAATCGGCACGTGGGCGTTACCAGGCTGACCACTTTCCTCAAATCGCTAAAGGTGTCACTAAAACAATTTAGCGTTTTCACTTTCAGCAAAACTTAGCTCAGTCTGCGCACAATGTTGTGTTGGTTCTAAGGGCTCTGTGGTGGGTTTGCTTCAATTTCTGATTTAGATCGATGAACTTTCCGTACAAGTTTCACCCTCTATTTTTTTTTATTTGGGCGACTTTGTGATTTACAAGGAAATAACGTCTCTGACGTCACTGCTCTTTAGCAGGACATTACCAACGTCGTTCAATGGTGCAAATATTGGTTCATGGAAATTAACATACTTAAATTTTAATCTATGAGGTCTCCCGTAAAAATAACACTTGTCCTTTCTATCGCATCAGCAATTCATCCCTGATCTTAGTAACCTAATATAGGTGTCTTGGTCTTTACATAACCAATCACTTCTCCTGGAACCACCATGTTGACTACGTCACTAACAACGCTAATCATTTATTGGGCTCTCTCCCAATACATCTTTTTACTCGCCCCGGTTTCACTGAACCTTCTTCGTCATGAAGCACTAATTCGTACCAATACTGAATAGGCAGCCTGTACCTGGGACATCGGTATCACACTTGCGTGCGCTGTCGAATCCATTCAGAATCGTTCCGTTCGTTTTATACATTTAAACTACCACCGCAAGGCTAACGTAACCTCCGTAACCTCCTGTCCTTGTCTAATTTTTTCTTCAGTAGAAACATAATGCGTCGATGTTTGCTTTATGATATTTATCAATATAATCTTACACTTCGCCAAACGTTGTTTTTAGAACCATCTTAGATATCATCGCGCGTCAAATCATCACTTTAAAAAAAGTCGCATTACTCCGCTGCAGTCCCTCTTCGTTCCATGCCTCTTTTATTCTTCAAACCTCCATCGACTGGAATTGCCTTCCTGCACACCTGCATGTCTTATAGCCTACACCGCCGATTTGGAAACAGAAATTACATATCCATTAACAGATTTTCTATAGCATTTGTTAATTGTTTATTATTTTCTTTTCGTTCATGTTTCATATGTTTATCTATTGCATTTAACACACTCCCCTCTGCAATTCCCTTGAACCGTGAGGGAATGCTAAATGAAATGAAATGAACAAAAATGTCAAGGTAGCGGTTCGAACCCCATATGTCAGTCAAACTTTCAAAGCTCACCGCTCTGTGACTCGAAAGTTACAAGCGATTTTACGTAAATTTCAAATAAGCAAATGGTAACCGAACACAGGAAGGTGAATGACATTCTGTATACCGGAAAAGAGCGGGATTTTCTCATTGAAAAGTTCCATAAATAACTTATAAATTTTAATCACCATAACGGCAAACTCCACAACATCGGCAGCTGTTTTTTTTTTTTTTTTTGTTTTGCTCTCTTTTTTTTTAGAATTTTTTTGTTCTCAAGTTCTCCCTAAAAGATATTTGTTTATTTTTTTTTTGGCGGGGGGGGGGGGGGGGGGGTGCCATACCGGCCTCCGGCGTTCTTTAAACTGTCGGAAACTTTGTGAAGATAAGGGATCATTGCAGGCCTTTTCTTCGGTACGCTGCGCTTTTTCGTCTGAATGCCCTTAGTCCGCTTGAGTAGAGGGCTTGCAACATCAGACACTAACGCCGCGGGAAAACGCGCTTCTCGTAACCCTTCAGCCTGCGTCCGGGAACTCTCACCCAACATATGAGAGCACGACGTTTTGAAGGCCGCCCCCAAGCACGATGTAGTTATGCCCCTCTTTTTAATTTTTATTTGAGCCGAACTGTCGTCAAGGAAACCCTTTTTAGAGCGCGGAGCGTAACATCAGGCTATATGACCATCACTGGGTCGGAGGGAGAGGTCAAGATCAGGAGAACTATAGGCACCTCAGCGGTGAACCTGAGCACTCCGCCACTCCGCAAAATCGGTCACCACTTTGCCCACAGGTGTCGCTGTCAAACCCCCTCCGTCACAACCCTCGATATATAGCGAGGACTTATCTACCTATCTCATTTCTTTTTTAAACGTTAGAATTGCCTAGCGACACCTCCAAGCCGTGGTCTACTTCTGCCAAGAAAATGTTACTGAAGGCGGGTGCCACACTAGAACCTATGGACAAAACCGCTTTTTACGGAATGCACCGATCCCGCCACCCTATAACCATCGATAGTATAGTGCTGCAGTTTCAGAAAGCTTTCCAGCCTTAAACAACTTGAATTCGTGAAGCCCCCACAAGATTGAAACAATTATGTTTTAGGGTGAACGCAAGACTGGAAGTGATACCGAAGTTTTGTTCAAGCACAAGGACCAATTGTCTAGACTAGAGAGATAGTAGAGGCACACCAAATAAGAAAGACGGGATCCTCCTGTGTCAGTCAACCGTCTTTGGCGCTGCGAAATAGTAAGATCGCGTTTCTTTTTTTAAATTTGGGCTACCTTTATTTTGCTTTTTATCCCGTTTATCACGTGCCATCACGCTGTTATGAATTGTCCCGTGATACGCAGGCCGGGGGAAAGGGGGAAGGGGCGTACAGCCAAAGATGAATGGTCGTTTTCGTATGCTTTCCTTACTACTTCAATTGATAGTCAGCGCTCGTCCCGCGTGTTTCTTCTACGTCCTCGTTTGTGTTTCACGCTGTTTCCTACGATAAATTCCCACCAACTCGACCAACTGTTCATTCTTCTAAGTTTGACACATGTCTCACAGACAGTGCCTGTTTGGTTTCTTCCTTTATTTTTCGTCATTTCTGTTGCAAGTAATACGGCGAGCAAGTGCTCCAAAATCCGTCTTTGGCGCACCGGAACGCAATGAAGGGCACGCGGATGCAACAGCAATACAGAGAAGGCACAGGGAACGTGCGATGACGAGTCAGCCAAACGTGCACCGTCATTGGTTAAGGTCCGAGGGAAACAATAGCACGTCGGCGCGTTTGGGGATAAACAAACGCACAAGGTGCGCATGGAGCATACAGTTGACAGTCAGCGTTTGTCCTTTTCGCGTGTTTCCTCTTTTCCGTCCATGGCTTTTGCGCTGTTTTCACATTTTGATTAGGATTCCATGTTTTCGGAGTGTATTTCTCGGGGAATTCGAAGGACATGTTTTCGGAGCTCATTTCGCACTGAAAATTCCGTGTTTATCGGAGTTTAGCTTTGTTAGATTCCCAATTCTTTGAAATACAGAGTTCATTTTACTGTGTTCTTATATTTTAAGAATTCAAAAACAAAATATATGAAGTACAGGTGTCTTGGCCCGTTGTCCCGAGAGAACCTTGGACGTGCTAACAGGTAAACTCCTTTTGTCAGTAGTTCTAGCTTTCAAAGGAAACTGAAATGGCATATATTTAGGATCACTGACCATGCCAGAAAACACGGAACCCTAATTATGATCAACAAATACAAACCAGCCCAACTCTTGACTTTACTTCAGTTCTTTTATTTGTGAGGACTAACCCAAAGGCGTATTTTGTTTGTTCGATTCACTTTCCTATGTTTTTTTATCTTTTCTTATACATATTTTCTAATACACTTTTTCCTATCCACCAAGACGTAATATCAAGATCGTGTGTAATACGGTATTATACATGACCTTGATATTACGGCCAATCTGGGTGCTTGCACTTTTCCTTGTTGTTTGGCTAAAATCACACATTTACCTTTACGTTACGTGGTGTGCCTATCGTACTCGTGCGTGACCTTTAGGACGAGGTCCTCTGGGTTTATGAATTGGGCAGTAATGTATCCTACAAAGGCGGTCACGTAATCGTTCTACGTTTGCGTCATGAAGCGGCGGCCGTGACGGCGTATTCGCTTGGCAAACCAAGCGTGCGAGGAGGGAGATAAGGCGCGCAAGCCGCTACGGCTGCATATTCGTGACGCTACCTTTACGGAGCGGTCGATGATCGTGCCTTCAGCTTCATGTGGATTGCGCCTGTATACAGACAGACAAGGAGTTAATAACTCCACTCTTAAGGTGTATAACCCAACTTCATGGCTTCTTTTTTAAGATATGCTGCCGCCAGGATGCACCTTGTCCATTAAATTACTTATTCGTATACCTCTTGTTCGAAGCAGCGGTTCAGATTCTGAAAGGTTTGCTATAATTAAGTTAAAACCCTTAAAACGAGGAGTCAAATTTGATGTGGAGTTAGTTACTATTTGTCAACTGTGAAACAGACCAACTGTGAAACAAACAAATATAAAATATTTACTGGATTCACTTCTTGTTTCTCCAGAGAAGCGCATATGAATCCAAAGACACACATTCAGCGCTTTCCATTTAATTGTTTGTTTAAGGTGGCGGTGCGTCACTAGTAGTTTTTTTTTTCTCCGGCTCCTCCTCTCAAAGAATGATTTTTTTGGGGTGGCCACTTGCATTTTTTTACATGAAGGTATCAACAACAAAACTAACAAGGACTTATAGAATAAATTAAGTCCTCTGAATACAGAAGTGTTGAGAACTGGTCCATTTGGTTCTGAATAGCAAGAACCAGAGAAATGTTTTGTGAGCTCAATGTGGTCCCATTTGATACTTTGAGATTATGGAAAAATGAATAGCCCTTTAGAACGTTTAAGTTAGCAAACCTGCAAGGAAACATGCGAGTTTAATCATCGGCACAAAATTGCCTTCTGACACCGAGAAATGGTACTGCAAACAAAGACAACCGTATTAGAGACGTCCCACGTGAAGTGATTCTGCAATGCGAAATACTCAGGAGCTGTCGCCTGACCATAATCGCGCGCCGCATGAAACACCGCAGCGCCGTCACGGCACCGGGGCCAATATATCAGGCAACACTAAATATAAAACATCAATGCTGAGCTAGGGTGGCGGCCGTCGTGGGTCATTTGTGTGGCAGTGTGCGTCCTGCTCATAGTTGGCAATTCGTCGGCCTCCGCGTTCACCTCAATTCTAATCGCATCTTTTGGACCAAGACCAACTAGATT